TTGAAGTTACTAACTCAATTCATTCATTCAATCATCGAATACTATATCATCACCAACTTTGAATAGGGTTCCATTTATATAAGGTGTCTCAAAAAAAGGTGACCGCCTTGCTAGGGTGGGTAGAACATGGGTGTCCTATTGTAACTCTCTAGTATCAAAATTAGCACTCTGTCTCAATCATCTGTTAAAAGACCTTACAAAATTCCATAATCCTTTTTCTTCAAGAAATTCTGCTGATCTTTGTGAAAGAATCCAAAACTTCAATATTCCTAAAATTAAATTCTCCTGTCTTTTGATGTAGTCAACTTGCTCCCTAGTGCCCCCTCCCAGAGGATTGTATCAAGCTATTTCGTAATCATTTATTCAATTCTGACATACCCACTTGTCATGTACTAAAATGCCAATTAGTAGATATGGTTTTGAAGCAAAATTGTTTCCATTTCAACAAAACCTTTTTCAAACAACTTACTGGTTTAGCCATGGGCAACAATCTCTCTCCTTTACTATCCGAAATTTTCCTCCATGATTTAGAACTCAAACCCAACAATTCCTATATTTATTTCACAAAATCTGTTTCTGGTTTAGATATGTAGATGATTGTTTGGTACTTTTTGAGGGTTCTTTAGATGAAGTGAATCTTCTTTTAAAGTTTTTGAATAACTCACACCCGGCTATCCACTTCACCATGGAATTAGCAGTTAACAATTCTCTCCCATTCCTGGACTTACTGATTAATTCAAATAATGATAAATTCACCTTCTCCATCCATCGAAAACCGACTCACACTGACACAGTTATCTCCTTTTTTAACTTGTCATCCCATATCCCACAAATTAGCTGCTTTCAACTCCCTCTTTCATAGACTCTTCAATATTCCAATAGATTCTTCAGATTTCAACAAAGAATTGGACATTATAAAATAAATTGGTCACAACAATGGCTACCCACCCCACCTCATTGATAGAATTTACAATAGACAACGACAAAAATGTATCAACCATAGTTTAATACCGCTCAATAGTTCTAGAACCTTTTTCTCTTCAATTCCATTTTTAGGTAAAGAATCCAATGATTTGAACAATATTTTCCATCGTTTCATCACAGATATTCACATGTCCTTCCATACTTTAGACATAATTTCTCATAATTTCGTTAATACCAAAGACTTTCCACCTACGTCTAAGTCAGGTGTATCTAGAATGTCTTATTCGGAACCCGATTGCCATGCACAATATATTGGTCAAACTGCTAACTATGTTAGTATCTTCAGGGAAAGATCGAATGAGTTTTTTCTGTGACGGGTAAAAAGTTTGGCGTTTCATCTCTGTTGGCAGGTTATAATATGTCACTTTTCATTAAATACTTTTTTTCCGTGGGAAAAAAGTGAGTACTTTTTTCCCGGATATATATCACATATATATACACTGTTGATGGCTTTTGTTGTGCTATAGTTCCGAAAAATGAGTCGATAATACCGTCTCCTAGAAAGAACTGCAAGACCTTTTATCTTTCATTCGACTTCGCGGTTACGTATATTACTAAACAACCACTAAATTCGCAATTTTTTGAAATCAAATCATAGAATTAGACTGACAGAAGTGACACCAGATATTTGATCACTTCAAGAGAAATATAAAGATGCCTACAACGCAGGAGTCCCTACTGTTAAAAACTTAAAATTTCACGCCGATAATTTTCAGATTTCAAAATCATGTAATATCTTCTCAATATTGATTCGTTCTTCCTTCTGTCACAGAAAAAAATAGTGTATTATACACGGGAAAAATATTAGATTTTAGCTCACGGTTTTTTGTGTCCCTCCGCTACGCGTCGGGAGAAAACACAACCTGGAGCTAAAATCTACAACTTTTTTCCCTTGTATGATAAATAACTATTTAATCATCTCCAATAACATCATGGTAGTTGCAGTCATTGTCATAAGTGACATCAAGTTATCTTGATAGGGTATGTACCGTAAATCTCCGATAGTAACCGCTCTGGTTACTATCATTTCAGGCTGGTTGAATTCTGGTTATTGTTAATTGAAAATATTCAAGGTACGCATTTGGTATCATTGCATAAGTCACTTGTCATTGTCAACTTTAGAGTGGAAAGGAGGGAATAATTGGTGTTTTAAACTAGATTTTGATTTTGAGTTTTTTTTTATGGACGTTGATTATTTAATGATATCAAACTCATGATATTCCTCAGTTTTTCAATTGTTGAATAGATATTGGAAAATGGAATAGGAGGCGGCATTCATTCTACTTGAACATTTGTTGTCAGATTCTAGTGATGATGAGTATGAGTTGATGATTCCTCAGAGAGGTCCTATGGGTAAGTCATGCCTACAATCCCTACACTAAGCCCCACACCTAGAACTCAAGTATTCAGCACTTTGGTTATCACCATGGATGAGTTTCTATTTCATTCTATCGAAAATAAAAAAAATTGAATAACCTATATCCGAACCAAGATGCACACGAGAAGAATGAAATGTACGAGTACGAGTGGCTCACCCGAATTCCATATTAAGCGAAGAAACCGCACCCCTCTAATTAGGCCGTCTAGATGGAGTTATGTGGGTGCACCCCTAACAAGTCCCCACAGTCCGTAGGTGGAGGAATTCCTCCGCCGGATTATTAATTTTCGGTCGAGACTTCATGTTTTATTCCGACCTTGATGCTAGTTCCCTTCGTGGGCCGTAATGAAGTCGGACTCCACAAACGCAGAGCCGAACATACAGGGTTGTACGAACCATACTAATAATGCAATCAAGGAGTACCACAGGGAAGTGTACTGGGCCCCCTATTATTTTTGTTATATATCAATGATTTGCCAGAGGTAGTAAGTGAGAGCTCCGTTCATTTATTTGCAGATGATACACTGATTTATTTCTCATGTAATGATCACATAAAGCTCATGGAAACCATCAACAGAACTTTAAAATCAATTTACAGTTGGTGTTGCGCTAATTATTTGAAGATTAATGTTGAGAAGACCAAGTACATGGTAATAAGTACAGAAAAAAGATACAGAAACTTTTGCAACAAAAATTTTGAGGTAATATTAGGTCCTGATAAGGTGGAACTAGTTAACCAATTCAAATATCTTGGGGTTCATGTGGATAGGGGGTTACATTTTAAAGAACATGCCAACTTCATTATAAGGACGATAGCATTTAAATTACATTATTTATCTCGTTGTGCCCCACATTTGACAAGGTGGACAAAACTTTTACTGTACAATTCATTAGTGCTCCCTCATTTCACATACTGTTCTACAATTCTATTTCTACTGAAACAAAATGAATTAGCTCGTTTACAGAAACTACAAAATAGAGCCATGCGCATAATTTTAAATTGCAAAAGACGTACACCGATAAGAGACATGTTGAAGGAACTTGAATGGTTACCAATTAATTCCTTTCTCCTCTACCAAACATTAATCCTAATTTTCAAAATAAGAAATAAAATGTCCCCAACATATCTGCAAGAAAAAGTTAGGTACAATAACCAAATCCACGGATACAATACAAGATTCAGAACTGACTTCCATATTCACCAAGTAACATTAACACATACCCAAAATTCAGTTTTTTTCAAGGGACTTGATAGCTATAATAATCTGCCAGAAGAGATCAAACGTTTAACATCATTAACATCCTTCAAGGCACAGTTGAAATCATATTTTCTTCATCAATGAAATACCTAGCGGCCACTTCCTCATTTTGTTTGTTTCGATTTAGTATAAAGTATGATAGGTTTACAAATGTTTTAGAATGTGTAGTGTTTTTTGTGTATTCATTAAATATGTATTAGAATGTGTAATTACGTAAAGATGTATAGTGAGTGAGTATAGTATAGTTTATGTATTGTATTTATGTAAATATGTTTACACATATAACATTCTCATTGTAATTATTGCAATGAGGTGAAAATGTAAATTAGCCAAATGGACTAAATAAAGGATTTATATATATATAATTTCTTCAGATTATCATGGTTTTCTCTGCAACTGCTCCAGTTTTCAACATTGTATTGTACGCATAAGGGGGTGAATGTATCTATGTAGGTGTGTAGATGAGGGTGATGATGTGTACACTGCGACCCATGTGACCTATTGTGTCCCCTCTTCTTGATATGCGTCCAAGGTCTTCTCAATAACAGCTGTTCTTCCAATCCTACTCTTCGCAGGAAGTTTAGGATATGGGATGGTTCCAAAGAGGGTGGATCTCCTTCTTCTTTTTCATATGCTCATCTTCTCCCTCACAGTAGGTAGTAGAGATTCCTCTACTACCTGGAGTTTCTTCAGAAGTCTTTTCATTTGTTTCAACCGACAGTGTCCAGTATACTGATAAGGAGTGAATACACTGCAACCCAAAAGATCTATTGTGACCCCTTTTTTGCTATATGCGATGAGCTACAGCAATTTCTCCAGTCCTAAATATCAAGATATCAGGTGATTCTAGGTTGTGTAGCTCCTTCTCTATTATGTATTCTCCTAGGCTTTCCGTCCTTGGGTTTTGTATAGGGTTACACAGACCCCTGTTAGAGACCTGTTAGGACTCCCGTTAGTATATGAAGGTTATTTTTACTCAGGCTGACATGTTAGATCTTTTGATGTTATAATATATGTACCCAGTAGTATCTTGCCTGTCTGAGACCATGACGATTTCTGTTTAGCTTCATCTCTTCCAATTTCTACTGATACAGGACTGCGGCTGATCCCGCAGGAGGGTACTAGCCCAACGAAGGGTGTTTCAGCTTCTTTCCTAGCGAGTTTGTCCTCTACTTAATTTCCTCCATTTTCAGTACCTAGTCAACATAAAAATGGAAAAATAATTCTTGATCTCATTGAATTTTCAGTTTTGAACCCAGTTTCCACTTGGAAACTCATCACCAACACGTTGTTTTTTCTGTCAGATTCGAATGTTTTCATGCTCCATGTTTATAAAACTGCTTCGTGTGATTTGTTATGAATATATATTCTTGTTTCAGATGGTGACAACGGAGCCCGGAGTTGGAAATACTGCCACCGAACCACCTGAAGGGGGGACGACTTTTGGAAAACTCCGGCAGACACTCTCCTCGTCATTACTCACAGCTCAGGACAAAGGTATACTGATGAAATTTAAAAAAATCAAAAGTGAATTTTCTTGTTATATTTCTATAGCCGATACAAATTCAAATGAGTCGAAATAGACTTTTGTTGGTGCCAGTACTGGCAATTTCGTTTATTGAGTCCAGTTGCGTCGGAAGAGATCATAACTCAAACGGAATACCTTGTATTTTCTAGAGTTTTTGAATTTTTTCTGGATTGAAGCTCAAAGTTGCAAAGTGACGTAAACAATTCGAAGAAATTTGGTATTTGAAACGGTTTTGAATGTTAATTTACGATTTTCACAGATTCTATAGGTTATCATAAATGTTCATCGATTTTCGACAGTATAACATGATCGACATAATCGTAAGCTCTATATCAAAAAACCACCACTAAATATATTAACCCTGATGCTAGAACGATGAAAAAATAAATTAAAATATGTACATTTGAAAAGGCACACCTCCTGCGCCATGTGAAATGTTGTCAATTCCTTGCTGTGACTGATTTGACGTTTTAGTCCCAATATTGAGCTGACCAATCACAATGCAACACCGTAGGATGGCGAGGCATCAGAGAAAGATAGCTACAGTTCGGGACTAATACGTCACGGCTTCTCCTTCATATCTAATTCAATATTGATCGCACAGTGTGTCCTGTTTTTGATGCTTTTGCCATCTTTTGCGCGATATCTCTTTGGAAATAGAGTGTTGTGGTTATCACAATATTTCCTTACTTTTTGAAGTTGAAAATTCAAACTTTTTAGGCACCTCCCTTATCTCAGTTTTTTAAAACTTATCGGCAGGATGAGACCAGAGCCTCACATAAATTTGTACGTATAATACAGTAGCGTACTCATTCATTTCTGTGATCGCTCATTTTTAGAAAACTATTTTGCCTCCATTTTCTGAAGATGAGCGATCACAGGAATAAAATGGGTTCGCCACTGAATTGAACGTAGACAGTTATATAAGGCCATCCCGCCGATGAGTCGAAAAATAATCAAGATACGGGAGTTGCTGAAATAGTGACAATACTCAACATCGCCTTGTATCTCAAAAATGTATTGTGAGACTTCTATTCCGCCTTTCCCTACCACCGACCCCGCCTCCCTCCTACAGACCCCGCCCTCGGCCACGCCCCTCCTAGCCGCCAGCCAATGATGGACTTGATATAATACATTAATGTTTTTCTAGCTACATAACCGAAATTAAAGGAAAACTGACGATTCTGAAAGATCATTTACGAATTGAGACAGTTTTGAGAGATTTTCAACGATGCATGATTTTTGACAGTTTTCATGAAATTTTCAACCATTTTCAAATATTGAGCACATACATTCGACGAATCGTATGACTATCAACAGTTTTTGAAGATTTTAGACGAAGGCGTGCTGAATCTGCCCAAGCCGTTGCAGCCGGAGGAGTTCAGCAGGACGTGATGAAATACATAAATATTGCCCTAACGACGCCACCAGTATCCATATCAGCTGAAAAATACATACCACAAACGTGTTTGTATACAGATAACTATTTTTTTCATTCAAAATTCCTTGGATCTTATGCATCTTATTATTTTCAGGTACCTTTTGAATCCGAAAGATCTCCCACACTTATCAAAACATCCCTATTATCCTGTGTTATGTTCGTTACGTGATGTAGTAAATTATATTCATTCATGATGCTGTTGCACTGTTTGTTACATCTAACACTCTCTGTTTCAGTGAACAAGATGACTCCCCGCCCCTCGCTCATCCCCGATCTCCAAGACACCACGCCCCCTACCACCGAGCCCGCCTCCCTCCTACCGACTCCGCCCTCGACCACGCCTCTCCCGGTCGCCGCCCAATCGGGCAAACCACCCAGCAGGGCGGGGGCGTGCCGCGTGTGCCTGAAGGCGTTCCAGCCCGAGGAGTTCAGCCGAACGTGTGCGGAGTGTGCGCAGAGGGTGTGCGAGGATTGCGCCAGCTACAGCAAGCAAAAGGAGAACGAGGAGAATGACGATTGGACATGCAGCGTGTGCAGAAGGTGAGTCACTCACAACAGATTCTAATCACTCCATTGTTCACTCTTCACATGTATGTTTGTATGTATGTGCAGGGTGATTGTTTATATTTCACTCAATAGCTATCTCAGTTGATATTGGTCTTACAAAAACGTTCAAATGGGCAAAACTAAAGTGTTTTTCATTGGCATCAAGAATTGTTCACTAGAAAATGCGAAAAAGCATCGTTGACCTGAAAGAAGAGAAACACCAATTTTTCTATAATTTTCAATAAATATGCATTATATTCGATAGTTTTCAAGGAGTTTTCAACGATGTCTAACGATTGCATGATTTCCACCAGTTTTCTAGAATTGTTCAAGACTTTCAGAATTTTCTCAATATTTTCGACGATTTTTGAACAATTCTACTAGGATTTTTGAAGATTCCTAACGATTATCCAAGATTTTCGACGGTTCTCAGAGGTTTTCTAGGATTGTATGTACATAGTTTCAAGATTTTTCTTATCATTTGTATAACTTTCAACAGTTTTCGTAAATTTTTGGTGATTTCAATCCAATTACGCACAATGCATACTTTAATGATTTCTGATGGTCAATTTTCATCGTTCTTCAATGATTTTCACTGATTTTCAACTATCCATAGCAGCTTCAAATTCAAACAATATATTCAATGTTTCTGAAACATTTCACATCGACCTTCGATGATTTGAATTCATTTCCAAGCAATTTCAATAAATTTCAAACTTTCTCTGTGATTGTTCAAAGAATCTTCATAGTTTTCGATAATTTTCAAATATAAACCTTACCTGAGATAACTTTGTGTGATACAATTATTAGTTGTCGCTGCCACGATGCTATCCACTCTGTACATTCGTATTCGTATTCATTAGTGTTGTTTCTCGGAAAGCTAGCCACCTTTTCATTAGTGTTCATTCAACAGAGATACGAATAGAGCACCTATCCAGTTATTACACGTCAAAGGTACATATACATCCGAGTCGAAACTATTATTTTCTGAGCAGTAATTAAAAATACATTTTCCGCTTTCCCACCGAGTTAACAGGTCTCCGAACACGACGGCGCATATATCGATCATGCTAATTGGCCAGAAAATTGCATATTTTCGACGAGTCTCATCAACTTCAACCTCGAATTTCATCGCACCGTAGATGTATACGGAACGTATCCACATTTGATCGACGGAGTCAAGATGAAAAATTGAAAATGAGTATAGTTAGCACTGTTTCGGTCCACCAGACTCCATAGGTCGCACTCGGTTTTGCTTATGTTCCTTTGAATTTAAAAAAAAAAGTAGTTCACGCAATATAGTACGCTCATAAAGGTCGGAAAACTTTTTTTCTGGTCACCCAAAAAACTCAAAGACACTAATTCAGACACATAAAGAAAGTATTTGATGTCAGATTGAGTAGATAGTTCTTCCTTGATATTTTCAAAATTAGTGGTCTACGCAATGCAGGAAAGGCTGCCTCAAACAGGTCGAAATATATGTTTCTTCTGATTGTCTTGAAAGTCTCGAGAAATTCATACACATTATTCCAGACCCGTGAAGAGAGAATTCGATGTCAGAGTAGATTACCCTCCCTTTCGATTTCCAGAATAAGTAAATCAAGGAATGTAGTGAGTTCATACAGGCGGAGCGAGACGAAAAGTACTCACTTTTTTCCCACGGGAAAAAAGTAATTTATGAAAAGTGACATTTTATAACCTGCCAACAGAGATGAAAAGCCAAATTTTTTCCCGTCACAAAAAAAATATTTTTTTCTGATTGCCCTAAAAATCCCAGAAAATTCACAGACACTAATTCAGGCACATAAATGAAGAATGTGATGTCAAATTTAGTAGATAACTCTCCTTTTTTTCTTTCGTGTATATAAGGTTCATAAAATCTAAACACATCTCTCTGTTAAGTTATCTCATGCAACTGTCTCTTGCGCCGCCGAATTATCATTTATTCAGTCAACAGGAAATAGTGTGCTATGAGGGTTGTTTGTTACCATGTAAATTCATAGAAACATGGCCTATTATCGAAATCGAGTATACAAAACCTAGATCAAGATTTTTCCACGATTCCATATAGTGGAATTGAATGAAAATCGATTGATGAACAGCGAAGCTATTCCTGCTCCCACCATACCTCCAGTTACACCCATCCCATATTATAAACGTTGGCCATCAAAAATCCATTTCAATCCGCCAGATGATGTATTTATCGATTCCACGATTCCATATCAATAATGCACTGATTAATATGAATAAAACAGTGGGTAATAGCGCCTGACGCTCAGCAAAGCTCGTTCAATTCATCATACAGAGAAGTGCACAAAAAAAACGGCCAGTGCTATAAATTCTGAATCATTAGAGATCGGATTTTGAATATTGCTTATTAATTAACAGAACAATTTTTATTCTGTCACTTCCGGTTTCACAAGAATAACTTTTTATTTTTGAATGGGACACCCTGGATTCTACTCCATATTCTGTTAGGCCTTATCTTAACTAATAATTCAACGATACCGGATTTGATAGGGTTATTTCAAACGATTATGAAAGATATTCACGTTCTAAGTTTCCATATGCTCAATGTGTGTGACAGAGAAAGTTTAGATATCGCGAAGTCACACCTGAGATGTTTATAATTCCTCTGGTGTGCCCACTCTTCAATTGTTTCGTCAGACTAACTCTCGATATGAACAATTGAATGCGGGTTCGGAACGTAGGGTTCTCATATCCGATGATAGATGGCGTGAACGATGGACAATTTCTTGGAAAATTTCAAAATGCGTTTCGAACCTCATTATGAAGTTGAACTAGACTGTCAAGGGGCTGTTTTCCTTCTTTCGAGACCCGAATTCAATATTAGTTAACAAGACGCAACAAATAATTCGATCGGAAACATCTTGATCGTGATCTAGATCCATTGATCATGGCATTATTTAGTTCAAATTTTGAATGGAAATATTATACATTCTCATGAATGATAATTTATCAGAGCATTAGTAGTTTCTTCAGCAGGTATTGATATTATATTGATAGGTAGTTGAGTGACTCTATTGAGCATTCATCATGGACTGACCATGCTGCAATGTGTGAGGATATTATCACAAAATTTTCTTGAGTCAGGACCTTGTGTCATTCATAAATTCACTACTGAAAGTCGACCGTTTCAATTTACACAAAAAATTGTGAAAATAAAAATGTGAAATGTGCCAATAAATCTGGTGTGAAACTTCCGAAATTTAGCAAGATTCTCCCACGCCTCGCAATTTTTACTTTCAAAACTCCTTTCAATAGGAAGTGATAACATCATTTGACTTTCTATACATCTATGTCACACCCTTTGAACATATGAAAAGTTCAAACGCAAATAGAGGACAGTTTTTTCGTGAATAGGGATATGTTCGGAGTAGATAGAAAGTAAGAATTCCAAAAGTCTCCTAACTTACAAGGTGAGCCATGTTTAGGAGGCGGCGTAGAAGGTCCATTTCCTTTACTTATCATTCATGTACGATGAATCTTAAAAAGGGAACTTCCTTCATCTCGTAAGTTTGGAGACTTTTCGAAATTTCACTTGCTATCTACTCCGAATCTATCCCTAGTTTAAAAAAACTGTCCTCTTCAACCCGTTCATTGACTGAACTAATACTCCGGAACCTGATTACTTTCTGTCAATTTGTTACGCTTTCAATCTCTCCATGAGGCAGTTATATCCTTGTCACCGAGCGTTTCAGTGCCCCATTATGGCATTATGTAGCGAAAAGCTTTGTGTACCATCAGGGAGCCTGATGAAGCAGAGAAACATGTGTACCGAACAACGAAAATGTTTTCGCTCAAACATTTCGTTTCAATTAAACGATATGCTTCGTTTGTAAGAAAAGAAGGCATAAGTAGATAAGCTATGAGGCTTCTGAGGCAGTATCAGGATCCATTTGTTCGAGTGGGGGTAGGGTGACAATTAGAAGAAGGCGTGGTCTTGGTTGGTTGGAGGTGATACTGAAAGTAGCACTGATAAAGTAATTCCTATATGGATTGAATTGAATGAACATATCAACTCATACTCGTACACGGTGCTTCAAAGCAGCATGTAGGCACTGTCAGCAGTGTTTAATGAGACGGTTTTATGAGAATTGCAGGGCCTTATCAAACAAATGAATTGATAGGGATAACTTGGCGATTGGATATCGTACGGGATCAGGGAATACTTCGTTCATTCGTAGGTAAAACTGTTGAAAGTTAGTTATCTGAACTTATAGTTCCAGAATCGAATGAGAATCACATTTTCACATTGTTCACATTTTTTTATTCATCACGGAAACCACAAGGAGAGTGCCAACTACATGAGGTGGTTCTACGTAGGGCAGCTCCTTCTCTTCTATTATGTGTACTTCTAGGATTCTTGTTCTTGGTTTCTGTAGGGTGACACATTCTGTGAGTATGTGGAAAGAGGTTTCCTCCTCCTCCCCACAGAACCAGCATTCATTTTCTTCTTCTAAGCCAAGCTTCCCAAGATGTCCTTTCAACCAGCAGTGCCCTGCTAGGACTCCCGTTAGTAAACGAAGTTTATTTTTGCTTAGGGTGAAATATGCGTTCGATCTTTTGTGGTTCAGTACTTTTCTTTTTCGTCCCACTCCCCCGTTTATGTTTTGAACGGGTCAACTGAACAAATTGAAACTGAAAATGAATGAAATTGATGCATGAATACTATATTTTGGAGTAAATTTGACAGATGAAAATTTCAAGATGGCAACTGGGTCCAATCTGGGAAAGGATAAATTTGAAGGGGGATCAGGTGATACATCCCTTTGAAGCTCCTGACGAATACTTCACAACCCTAGAATATAAAGTCAATATCTTCACCTACTACAAAATGACGTGGGGGCATCTTTTCCGATATAAAGGGTTTGAAAATTTTAGATTCTAAGACGAGATAACGTACACCAGTGAGCACAATACCAACGTGTATTTAAAGAATTGAAAAATGCGCATACAAAGCTGTCAATTTTTACTTTTACGTTAAAGTTCATGACAACACTACGACTCTCTATCAAATAACCGCGGAATCGCGCAGCAGAACGTTATCGGTGAGATGAAAATGGCGCCATGTTGCCAAACTACCTGAAAATCCCCAGCATCGAGGAAAGTGACGCCATGTTGCCAGACTTTCAAAAAATCCCCAACATCGAGAAATCTCGTCGAGACATTAACCAAGCTTGACCTTTGCTTCTTTTGCAGGAAACTTCAATCGAGGGCGGCACTGGCGCAGGACTCGAACGAGAGCCTGCTGGAGATCCCGCTGCAGGAGTTGCAGCGACGGCATTCGGAGGCGAGACTGGGCTCGGGCGGCGGCGGTTTGAGCGCGGGCGGCATGGGCAGCGGTTTGGCACCGCCTCGCAGCCCAGAGCTGAGGCGGCATTCGGACGTGTCGCCCGCCTCGCTCAAGGAGTTGGAGAAGGTGAGAGGAGAACAGAAAGAACTTTGTTGTTGGATGTATGAGAAATTGATATTCATCATACAGGACGTGGAAAGAAATTCTGAATTTAGAAAACCTAATCACGAATCTGCGATTGAGGTCTATAAAAATAAAAAGTTTCCATCGTTCAAGTTTGAACCCCTTGATTGGGATGGAAAATGGTTATTTTTATAGACCTTGATCGCAGATTCCTCACGTCCTCCAGACGACAGAGGTTATGTCAACAAATTATAATTCTCAGATGTCTGTTCGTTATAGTTTTGGTTATATTATAGGGAGATAAAAATTGTGTATATCATGAAGAATGGCTGGAAGAATAACTGGACTTCAGGATACTGATGAGGATTTGATATCCGAAATGAGTTTTATTCGAGTGAAGTCATATAACCTGTTTGTGAGAGATATAATTCCCATATCACTGATGATTTTTTTTTTTTGAAATTTCAAGCTCATCAAGATCAGAGTTCATACAAGTATACTTCTCCTATACATTTAAATTTTCATTCCAATACTGAACAGATTGGTAAGTTATATTTTTTATATCATAATACATCATATTATCCTATTCGATTTGAGAGATAATCAGTAGCGCATCTAGGATTTAGTTCTGGAGGGGGTAAATATGTTGAAGTATCATTTTATTAATACAGAAATTTCGTAGATACTGAAAATAAAACCAAGAACTGAAAGTTGAGACAGATGTGTGAAATTGAAATAGAAACAACTTTTTTTCGTGAAGTTTTCGAACAAAATTTGATAGGTGAGCCTATTTTCAGCGATTAATTCAGAAGAATGTTACTTCATTTGACATTCATCGAGTCACGCGTGCACCGGCCGAGTAGGTCATTTTCTATTTCTTTTTGAAGCAAAACTGAATGGTCAAGTCGAATTTCAAAATTAATTATTATTGAAAGTTTATCCCATATAATTTCTGAAAGACAGTACCTATTATGAGAATAAGTAGGTAATAAGTATGAGATAATTATCCTATTTTGTCCATCTTCTAATTCATAAGTTCGACAGATGGACATAACTGACAGAACTTATTGACAACTGAACAATGTGATCGAAGATAATCTCAATATTTGGTTCTTCCAGTTCACTTCGATTCACAACCAACCATTAGGTAGGTGGGCAAGATGGATCGGAATATGAAAGAATGTATGTTCATGTTCATACTGATTCAATATAGTTAATTCTAGTGATATATCGGTTGGTTCGGACGAAAGAATATCACTACTATCGTTGAATAAAATAATTCCGTGATAACAATTCATTTCATTTCACTTCAGTTAATTTTTTTTTAATCCTTAGAGGGGGTATTTACCCCCTGTACCCCCCCCCCTTGGATGCGCGACTGGAGATAATGTCAATTCTCAATTTCAGAGGATTTTAATTTTTCTTGCTCTCTTTTTGGATATTCAACAGATATAATTCAATGTTAGACGTGGCAATATGGGCATATTATATGAAGGAGAATGCAAATTCTCTACTTCAGAAGATTTTGTTACGTACGATTCCGATGTACATACTTAGTACGTCCAACTCTAGACATTAACGACTTTTTGTGGACAGAATTGAATGATTTCTACCCTCGATCTCTGGTATCTATTGCAAACATGAACATAATATAAATCTCACAATTAATTTTTTTCTGGTCGTACCTAATCACAAAACATCTGTATCAACCCGCAGCGAATCCCAACTAGCAAAGATAATTGAGTCACATTTGTCACAATATCATCCTGCACTACGTATTTCATGCGTGATTATCATCAAGAGGCTAATTTTATTCTTGTTAATAATGTTACTTCCGATGTTTCTGGTAAGGTCAAAAGCAAATGCTAGAGTTCGGCATTATCCTGTCATCGATGATCAAAAAAAATTCGAGAAACTGAAACAGATTCTGAAAAATATCAAAACTGAAAGTACTAGTGTGAATAGTTCCTCCACTCGTTTTCAGACGAGACAAACCTGTTGATTTGACGTTAATGGGGCTCGTAGTTTGGAACATAAGAACTGGATAGCAGTCACGAAACAGTAGGATATCTTGTGTGTATCTCCGGAATTACACCTTGTACACTTAATTGCCGTAGAATTGGTACACGAATAGGGTGTTCACACGGAAACAGCTTATTCTTTCGTGAATGTTCTCTTGTATAAGATTGCGATCTCTTAATTATACAATATGATACTCTGTATGTACCACTTTATCGCCAGTATAAATGAAAATACCATCAATACAAAAATGAACTATGAATTTTTCGATATAACAGAAATTGAGCAGTGGTGCGACTCCAATAAACTTTGCTTCAATGTGAATGAAACAAATTTAATTACATTCAAGTGCAATTATGATGATTTATACTTGGCGGGCCATATTATTGTGTAAACCTAACACAAATATAGATAGTAAGCTCAAATTTGATGAACATGTTATTTCTTTGAATAAATGAATTGCCTCAGGTTGTTTTGCGATAAAAATCGTATCTAAGAAACTGAATACAGCCTCAGCCAGGATGGTATATTTCTCCTTGATCGAGTCTCTTTTGAGATATGGTATTGTATTTTGAAGTTTATGTAGTGAATATTCATTCAATCCTTTAAAAAAAAAGAGCAATTCAGTAACTGGGTGGGGCACAGTAGTATCGTGATCATTGCAAACCTCTATAAATCAACAAATTCTGGAACTGACTTGCTTATTTATTCTGGAAACTGCCAGCCTCATTCATGAGAAATATGGTAAGACTCTGAGTCTGAGTGAACGGAACTATCAAACGAGAAATGAAGGTTGTATTCCTTCACCAATACCTAAGTCTAATCTGACGAAAAACTTTTTTATAATGATTATTGGAACGCTGTCATATTATATTCTATGACTACTTCATTACTTTTCTTGAATTGATTTCATCAGTAGTTTCTTTTTCGTTTTGATGACAAAATATTGATCATGGAATATGCTATTTTGTTTTATTTATCATTTTATTTTTTGTTCTGTGATCTATATACCATGTTTGTTACTATACATTCCATGTTTTGTCAATAAGATCTATATCTTCGACAATAAAGTACACTTTCGAGTGATTGATTGATTGATTGGACAAAAGTGTATTAGGCACTTTCGACTTGAAATTGTTCAAGGAATATGCCCTCAAGCGTATCCAAAGAAAATGTGTTACGGCAGCACTGAGCATATTATGTGGGTAGGTATACTGAAAATGCGTAGTTAACATGTACATATAATATGTTACGAGGAAAATTTAGTGTGTTTTTCTAATCCGAAACTCGAGTTGCAGCGCTTTTACGATCTAATAACTTTCTAGCCTCCGGCTTATAAAAACGTCCGCACAAGTGAAAGCCCATAAAGTCCTCTGTCGCCATCATTTCCGCCCCCGTATGCTCATGGGCGTATCTACAATTTCTTACGGTAGGTGATCAACGAAAGAAAAAAAGTTTTTCATCAGAATATTGGTGATAACAAAGGCATTACCGTGAGCTCTATAGCAAAAAACTACCCGTGAATATACTTTTGAATCTTCTCATTCATACTGGGACGATGAAAAAGTAAATTAAAGTATGTTCTGGCTTTTTGAAATATCGAATGGAATATGCCGATTTCAAAACGCTATAGAAGCGATTCCCTTCAACTTTAACTCATAATATTAATTATACATTGAATGTTAATTATATTTCATCGATTGAAAGAGGTTTGGACAGATTTCATGACTCCGCGAGGTCTTCTCCATTATCAGAGAAAAAAGGGGGATAGTAGAAGTATTAGTCAAACACAAACAATAAATATCGGTGCCATGGTTTAGCTTGAAGCTTATTTTGTCACTAGCCTGTATACGACTCTAATTTTCACTGCAATATCAGTAGATAAACCAAGCGGATTCTGGACCATTCGAGTCTATGATATTTTTTCAACCATCCGCCTCTTATTCAAAGAGCCCCGTCAATGTTCGTATCGATTCTGTGGCCCCGGACCCCGGATCCGCTAATGAGGATTTATAAGATGTTTGCATGTTTGTCACCAAAGGACGAAGGTCGTTCGAGGTGGTCCGACTAGGCACGGAACTCATGGAACACGTCGCAAAGCTGACGACACTTCGATCGCTCTTTGTCGGAGAGATGAAGAATCATCGAATCCGCGTGCCGTGCATGTCTCTGCATATCCTTCGAGACGATTATACGAAAGCAGGGGCGTAGGCACTGACCTATAAACAATAAATGAAAAGGCGATGTTATTCTCAGTTTATCACAGTTGAATCCTTTTTTACGCCGGCTGGAGTTTAGTTTCTCTTGTAACAAAAGAGGGGCAGAAGTCTTGTATTATTCCCTAGGGAGATAATGTGACATATTTTCTCCCTAGGGAGTTTATATCAACTTTACATTTTCCGCATAGCTCTCCGCTTCCTTTTCGGAACACCCTTCTCTGAAGCGAGTATAATCTGCAACATACAGATTTCTAGATCTCACTGGTAGCAAGTTAAGAATCATTGCAGAAGCAGTATCAATATATAGTTTCTTGGGGTTTTTCCTCGATTTCTTGTTCCATAATCGTTAACCATTTTTGAAGCTGTTTTCATAAATTTCAGTTTGATATTTGCTGTCACCATGGGTTGTCAACTAGATGCATGTTGTCAAGATACGAATTCCACAAACTATACTACTACTTTGCCCTCTAGCTACGAATCGCACCTTGGAAAAAAATCTTGCATTTCAGTTCTTTGATGTATAATGTACTATTATCTACTCACTGCTTCGAAAGTAAGCGTTTGCTCTCTAATTCAAGGACACAAACCTGTCAATTTACTCCCCGTGGGAGGTGAAATGAATTGGCTTTAGCTTGTTTCCTCGGTAGAGATATACAGAGTGTCCGCTAAAAGGAGGTCAATCCATCAACCATATATTCCTTGAACAAAAACAATATGAGTTTCTAAATACCATTTTTCATTTTAGCCCTTCATATTCGATATACAGGGTGTCAAAGTTGGAAATTAAAAACTGTTTTTTTCTAATTACTCGCGTATTTGATGAGATATCGATCTCAAAATTGGTACATCACTTCAGCACAAAGAGTTACATCGTGTGAGGAGAACAAAACAGGAAATAACTGTCAAATATTCAAAATACTGGGGGTCAAGTACACACTTACCCCCATATTTTTTTTGTACGTGCGCTAATGACTTCCAATCTATTTTTCTTCAAATGTTCAATAATTTTTGAATATTTTTTGTGTCTTGTAAAAAATTTCGAAAAAATTATTTGTTTTTAAGATAATTCGAAAAGTACTGGTTATTGTTTGATATACCTATGCGGCTTACGGTAATCTCATAATGTTCACATACTCCTATTCACTTCGTCGAAATTGCATGAGGGCGTAACTTTCTACGTACGGAAAGGTAAATACCCTTCCAGGCCAGGTTTTGTTGTACTTATCTTTTTTATTTCATTATTCAAAGCTCAGCTTAAACGTCCTCGTTAACACTCCTCATTTTCTTTCTTATCATCTCATCATGAGAGTACAGGGCTTCGATTGTATGATCAGGGTCAAAATTCAATCAGAACGACAGGATTGCAAAAAATTGCGAAGTTCGAAAAAAATGATAAACTTTGAAAGGCTCAATCTCGGAAACTGATGAGTTTACAGAGACAGTTTTTATATCATATTGTAGCAAATTTGGTCTACTTTAAAAACGTTCTGAAAGAGTTTTTTCAAAAACTAGTCCTTCAGGGTTATAATCGCCAAAAACTGAAAAAAAAAAAACGATTTTTTCGCAGTTTTTTCGATCTTTGACAAAGTTGCGTTCGGCGCTCAAAGTCACAAACTTGGATTATTCATTAGGTCAACATCATGAACAAGTCTGTAAAAAATCAAAACTACCGGATTTGACGTATGCTGTGATGTATAAAGTTACTAGTTTTCCACTGAGTGTTTTTGTTTCAGTTGAAGGGTGGAGGTGCCAAAACACCTGATCCAGACTGGAGCAGACGTGGCGGTAGGAGCCAGGCGTGCAGCAGACAAAACAGTCCTCCGAGAGACGCCCCTACGGCCCCCAGATCCAGACGGGCCTCCAGAGTGGCCAGACAACACAGCTACGATGACGAAGTCAAGGCTGCATTACAAAGTAAGACCATAGAAGGAGATAATGATAGTAATAATAAATCGTCTTTTCCGTCGACCTCGTATTAACGAGTAGGTAATATACCACTCGCCGATTTACAGAGAGTACTAGTCTCTTCGGACCCACCATTAGGCAGACATTATAATCATGATGAAAATCATTTGTTGTTATTTATATATATTCAATAAAAGACGCTGAGTAGCTGTAACTACAAATTTTTCAATATTTTTTTGGAAAAATAACGTATTCAAGACCCTACCTAGCAACTACAGACCGATCGCACTGCAATCTATTATTTCAAAGATCATGGAGAAAGCTATCAACATCGAGCTCATGAAATACCTGGAACATTCAGGTATTATATCAACGATAGGCAATATATTGGCTTCCGTCATCAGGGATCAACTGGTACGTCTCACATATATGGCAGCAATCTATTGAAAAATATGGTGAAACCTTAGCCGTGGCACTTGATATCGCCAAAGCATTCGATCGAGTCTGGCACCACGGACTCCTCGCCAAGCTTCCATCTTATGGTTTGCCTCCTCAGCTATGTTCTCTGCTAGCTAGTTTTCTCTCAAACAGGTCTCTCCATGTAGTGGTCGACGAAGATTCATCTGACTCTCTTACCATAAATGCTGGTGTTCCGCAAGGATCAATCATAGCACCAACACTATTTCTACTCCATATCAACGATTTGTCGGAAGCAACTTCATGTCCAGTAGACAGCTCCGCGGATGATAGTACCCTCCATACCGCCTTCTCTTCCAGGGCTCCAATACCAGCCAGGCAAATCAGAAACGAACGAGGAAGAAATGTTGACAACATAAATATGGACTTGTCAACAATTCTCGAATGGGGATCCAATAACTTGGTAGATTTCAATGCAAACAAAACACAGGCATGCCTTTTCTCTAGAAAAGCCGATCTCACTATGGCAAACATAAGCATATCAGGACTAACCATACCTTTGAAGACATCCATTTCGATGCTTGGTATTATTATCAGCAATAACCTTCCTTGGGAAAATCACGTGAGTTCAATTGCTAAATGTGCATCCCAAAAACTTGGTTTTCTGTTTCCGGCCAGGAGCTATTTCACTTCCAGTCAGCTGCTTATGATCTATAACGCACAGATCCGACCTGTTCTAGAATACTGTACCCATATTTGGAGTGCAGCACCCAAACATACCCTGAAACTGTTGGATTCTGTCCAAAAAAGGGTAATTCGTCTCGTGGGTGATGCCTCGCTCACAAACTCACTCACTCTTCGGGAACACCGTAGAAAAGTTGGCGATCTGGCTCTATTATATAGATATTTTTATGGACGATGCTCTCCTGAAATATCAACAATTGTTCTTCCCTTCGCACCCCTTCGTGGTCACTTTGGAGACCTGCAGAACATCTCTTTCCAATGACTCGTTCATCCAACGAACAGCGAAGCTCTGGAACACCTTGCCAAGGAAGGTGTTCCCCGAGACATATAACCTCCAGAAATTCAAGAAGAACGTCCATTCCTACCTTATTTTCCTTTGTTCTCACGATGTTCTCTGAACATTACAGGATATCCTTATAAAGCAAAAAAATAAAATTCCGATTTTTATCTGGAAATTCTGACTTGTAGATCCCGGATCCACAACGGACAACGGCCTCGCCCTACCCGCCCCCATGCCGCGCCGAGCCTCCGCCTACGACGTCTTCTCCGTGCCCGGCCTCAGCACCGTCACCGCTGCCGCCGCCACTGCCCCGCCGCCCACCGGGGCCGGCAACATGGGCAGACGGGCCTCCTTTCGCATTCCGCCCGCCCCCCAGCAGCAGCAGGAGCCGGGCAGCCCCACCAGCCCGGAGGGGGGCGGGGGACTCGTTTTGGTGGCTCCCGAAGAGGATCGCAGGACGAGGAGGAGGGGATCCTACTTGTGAGTGGGGGTGGGCGATAGTGATTTTGGATCATCCGTTATCGATAATCACAATACCGGGTGGCTACGGAAGTATTGCCTACGGAATATCTCAGTTATTGTATGAAGTAGGTTTGTGAAATTTGGAGCGTCGATATAATGACATAAGAGCTAGAATTTGAGCATATTGACATGTCGAAGTCAACTTCCGGTCTGACCGGAAGTAACATCAACATTCTTATTTTAAATGGAACCCCTATTTTTTTTTCTTTTCGCTTTATTCAGCATTCAATTCCCTTTCTAATGACATATCACAAGTTGGTATCTAACCAGAAACTAGATCAGAAAAAAATTATTATTGAAATTTACCGAGTAGGCCGTGGAAGCAAAATGAAAGTCAAAAAATGACTTTCTATTATATCATTTGAAAGGAATGGTTATGCTGAATAGTACAGGCAAGAAAAAGTTGTATGTTCCTATTTAAGTTATGGACCTACAGAGTATTGGTTTTTTCCCAATTTTTCCATTATTTTTTTTGGCGGCTTTTTATAACGCCGACGAATGAAAATAAAATATCACAGTAGTAGCAACTGTTTTCGAGTGACGTATGGTTTCCATAGCCAACTTTTCAATTTTTGGATTTCATTTTGCTTCCACGGCCTACTCGGTGAATTTCAATAATAATTTTTTTCTGATCTAGTTTCTGGTAAGATACCAACTTGTGATATGTCAGTAGAAAGGGAATTGAGTGCTGAATAAAGCGAAAAGAAAAAAACATAGGGTTTCCATTTCAAATAAGAAATTTGATGTTACTTCCGGTCAGACCGGAAGTTAACTTCGACATGTCAATATGCTCAAATTCTAGCTCTTATATCATTATATCGACGCTCCAAATTTCACAAACCTACTTCATACAATAACTGAGATATTCCGTAGGCAATACTTCCGTAGCCACCCGGTATATTCATAGCTGTGTATGCTATATTAAACGAAATATAATGTAACCAAACAAGGCATGGTGAAAAAATAATTATCCGGAAACATTCGACTAGCCTATGGAAAGACTTCTTGTCTGGCTTGAACAAAATTATTTAATAATTTACCATCTGAGCTGAAATATAATATGGAAGCAGAAAAATCTACAATCACTTGCCAGAACAATTCAAAGGAATTGGTTGCATAAAAAAATTCAAAGAGGAGGTTGAAAAAGCATACTATGACCTGCAGGAATATTACAACGAAAAGTTTTGAAGTGATATAAATGTTATGCTTTTATGTCTTTTTTGTAGTTGTGTCATACCCTTGTATTTGTGTTATTCATCATCTATATTTTATATTTGTATCTTTTATATCTTTGGATTGATAATTGGACATAGTAGATCTATTCACTTGCTGGTTATGATGTTTCTTGGACAATAAAGCTCAGTTTTGATTTGATTTGAGTGATGAATATCACCGAGACCGTATCAATTTCCAGGCCAGACATAGCAAGTTTACGCCCGATGCCGAGACCGACCCCAGCTCTGGAAGACTTGGAGGCCACTCCTCGCAGGCAAGCGTCCGTGGACGCGGAAGCCATCAGGATTGTGATACACGACGTGGATTCAGGCACAACGGCGGCAGCTCAGAAGAGAGTCGTGCTCAGGAGAGATCCCACGGATAAGGCGCATAGAAGTAAGTGATACACTTTTGGATAAATGATAAGATAAAAAATTCCCAAATGAACAAAAACTTTTTTTTCAACTTCGACAGCAGAGGCATGAAGATGATCTCATTACCTAGGGCCTTTTTTCAAATTGTTTTATCTCTCTCATTTACAGAGTGATCTCAAAAAATCAACTCTCTGGTTTTGCAGTCATATCTTTTTTCCTCGTCAACCCGTTTTTAAAATCTCATTTTGAAGCTGAAACCTCAGATGAAGAGATATGAAGATCAGAATTGACTCAAGATGAACATTATACAGTGTGTCTCACTTCTAATGGAAGCACCTCTGTATGTTCCGTAATTGTTGAGTTAGGATTCTGAAACTTACAGGAGCGGGAGATATACGGAAAATAAATACTATGACCAAGTGGAGTCATCTCCAGTGATAAACACTGCTCGCCAACAGCCATGGAACTACCCAAATTTCCGGAAAATGTTATTTGGAGACAAGATAGGTTGAAACTCACTTCGGATTAGAAATCAGGACGTCCAATTCACTGACTATTCATATATTTTCTGAAAAAATGTACAGTTCATAGAAATCGAATTTTGTCTCACTTCTCATGGAAGCACCCCTGTATCTCACGTAATTATTGAGGTAGGGTTCTGAGATTTGCAGGAGGAAGCGAAAGGGACGTCCTGATTTTCAACCTATTTTGCCTCCTTATATCATTTTTGTGGGTGGTTCTAAGGCTATTGGCGAGCAGTGTATATCACTGGAGACGACTCGCCTTGATCATAGTGTGTATTTTCAGTATATCTACCGCTCTTGCAAGTTTTAGAATCCTAACTCAACAATTACGAAAGACACACTGTATAATGTTCATCTTGAGTCAATTATGATATTCATATCTCTTCATCTGAAGTGTTAGCTTCAAAATGAGCATAAGATTTCGAAAATCGGTTAACGAGGAAAAAAGTTATGACTGCAAAACCAAAAAGTTCATTTTTTGAGATCACTCTGTAAGTGAAAGAGATAAGGAGACAATTCGCGAACTGATCCAAGATAATGAGATCATCTACATGCCTCTATTGTCAAAGTTGAAATAAACAATTTTTCTCCATTTGGGATACTTTTGAAATATCCGAAATTTTGCACAGTTTCAGGTAACACCCTGTAGCGATTTTATGTGAAGAACCTCATGTTTTAAAGAATTACGGGATTATAGCTTGGGCTAGCGAACAGTGTGATCCGAATTCAAATCGGTAAAAGCAGAAAAAAGTTATTCATATCTCAACAGAGGCAAAATTTTGGGGTGCGACGAAATTAGTGTTGCGTAGTTTAAATGCTCAAATTGAAGTCAGGTACCGTTCAACCACCTGCAACAGCTTCAGGCCTATTAGCCCTCATCAGTGCAGAGCTTCACTTGGCAGAGTTTCTAAGATCGGAGTCTGAAACTATACATCCGTCCAAACGAATAAAATTCAAGATATCAAATTGGACTCGCTCTATACATATTATGTCACCCGAATTACATTTTATTTCATTCATGTATATTCTTCATCTTGGATGAACACCATGCTTCCGATGTATCAGTTTCTGTTCTCGTGTCAGCTTTAACATTTTCTCCGAACTCGGAACCTCATATCCTATAACCAAGAGCTTTCTCAAATCCAGAATATATTCATATATAAAATCCCAGAATGTCATATTACTTTATGTATACAGGAGATATATACCATATACCTGAAAACGCAAATACCTGAGGCTATGAATAAAGCCAGAATGATCTATTTCTACAAGCGAATTATTTATAGGGACACGGGATTCATGAACTTATAGGCCAATGGAATTATAGTAAATTTCCAATATTGAGATCGAAATTTCTTCACAGGGTTCCTGAAAATTTTTGATAGAGCAACGAGAGGTAGATGGAGTGTTGTGTTTTTTCAATGGACCACTATATTTTATTTCATCAACTTTTGTGTTGCTATTTACCATACTTCAATAAAAGGAAACAGGACCGTTGAGAGTTCATACTTGTCTGTCTGTTACTCTGATTCATTTTTATTCTTCAGTTTGAATGAACTCAGTTATAGTTAGTAACAAAATGAAAGATTTATTTCTTTGACTATTTTTTTCATAAGTCAAAATATGACGTATTCGTTGTATCAACCAATATGAATTCTTAATTCTAGCCAATCATTGGTATCATACTGATAATTTATTTGTTAGTAGCAGATTACAACGATTATTTTTTTTATCGCTTGGAGCGCACGAAAGGGAATCCCTATAATGTTCAAAGAACATCGTGCGTTCCTAGGGAGGATAGGGACAGGAGGTAGGTATTGGAATTTTTTTGTGACGTTTTCCTTATTTCAAACAATAGCAATGCGTAATTCTAGGCAATTTCAATCGGTATTATGTTGATAAAATGGCATGGTCCTCGATAAAACCTTGTTTACATTGAACTGTCAAAATAAATATGACTTACCAATGTCCGCCATCTTGTTTCTTTCGATCAATCTCGTCTTTCAATTCAATGACACAAATAATGTTTCATATTATACGATATATAAGACGTACGTGGTATTTTTATTTAATAATTTCAACTAGATTACCACCACTTGTGTACTTACTGTTGATTATTCCACTCATTTCAAAATACACGTTTTTGATTGGTTGAAATATTTGTGTTGATAATGGAAAACATTGTTTTCGATTTTGTATTTCGGCAGTTGATTGGACACTGGATACTTATTATATGATGTGTTTTCGATTTTGTATTTCGCTTCCTTATTGTTTTTTTGATTAAAAATAAAACAAAATAGTTCACCAGCAGCAAGCTGTCATGGATGTCATAATATTTACTTATTCAGGAACTCAACACAAAATTGTGATATTCTCCCACTTATGTATCTGTATCGAAGAATTTTGTACGATCGAGGAATTTCGATATCAACCTAATAAATCGTGCTGATTAGTGAATTGCTAACCTCCTACCAATAACATAATTTCAAATCTGACCATCCTTGGATCATTTGACTGTTAATATAGTGAAGTGAGTCGCTGTCAGTTGACACGCCCTAAATCCTTTGATGGATGTATGTATTCATAACGCAACGACTGCATATGAAAAAACGAGATGAAATTATAGTTCTATACATGAAATAATGA